AGAAAACTAACACGAGAGGATGCAGTCAGACAATTTCAAAGGTGCAGCGATGCCTGAACCAGGATACTTTCGAGTTCTTGCTTGAAAGGACAAATGATTCTTATTCATTACATAGACAGGCTCTACTTATACTGGCCTTTAACATAGTGCGTGCTCCTCTCTAGAACTTTACCTCCCTTAAATATGCTTGTTGCTAGAAAGGATGTCTGTCCAACTAATAATGAGCCCCATCCTGCAATCCTTAATCCCACCAACTAGCAATTAGTTTTCGGGATTGTTTTTCTAAAATCAGAGTTCTGGGGAAGTGATGACACAAGGGGCTGAGAATAGGGTAGGGAGCCTTTAACCTCTAGATTAGGGGTCAGCAACCTTTCTGAAGTGGCATGCAAGTTTTAATCGTCCTTCCCTGGCCTGCGCCACTCTCCCCGTAGGGACTTTCCTCACCATGCACCCCACTTGGTCTCCTACCCTGGGCTCCGCTGCGGCTTTTCCTGTGATGCTTTCAAAGTTTCACTTTTTTTAAAAATCACTGATTAATATTGAATATAAAGTAAAAATAAAAAGAGAAACCCAAACTACACACCCTAAATCTTTGTCAATAATAAAGCAACTAAAACAATAAAAATTAAAATATATATTTTTTTAAATTATAGGTATTCTTATAAAATACAAAAAATAATACTTCTTACCCAAAACCTTTTAAAAGCTCAAAAAAGGTCACAAGCTGGGTGGTTTAAAAACAAAAACCAACCAACCAACCAACCAACCAACCAACCAACCAACCAACCAAAAAAACAACTCAACCCAACCCCAAATGTTTATGATTTGGGGTCAATCAAAATATTTTGTTTTGACCCCCGACTTATGTCCCTGGCCTGCATTTATGACCGCGCACAGCGCCTATCATCAATGAAGGTTCAAGTTATGACGCCCCCGACTTGCGCCACTTCCCCGGGAACTGATCGCGATGCAAGTCGGGAGTCGCCCGTATTCAAAATAGGGATGTGAATAGTTAATGTCACCCTACTGGGTGATGCTTACTACTTACGGTCAGTGGGCTGCTCCAACTCTGCGGGCCCGGCGCTCCACAGACAGGGATGCTCCAGCCTGGCAGGATCAGCCCCCACCCTGGCCCCGGCTGGGGCCACCGCTACCAGAGCAGCTTCTGCCCGACACCCTCCGTATGCGGGGGAGCAGCAGAGGGAGGCTGAGCTCCTGCCATGTGTCACTCTAAATTGGCTCATGTGTCATGGCTGCTGACTCCTCTAGTTCTGATACCTGTTACCACCCTTTAATTATTGTTTTCTGTCTTCTATTAAGTGAGTTTGGTGGTCGCATCCCTCATGTACACATTGCATGCACCACCTCACAACTCAGTTTCCGCATGGCTAGGAAGGCCTGAAATGACCATGGACACACTTATTTTCAATTCCTGGGAGTAGTCACTCCCATCAGGATTAGGCGCATCAGTAGGATGAATTAAGGATGCTACAATACAGCCTTTGCTATAACTAGAGCCCTGCCTGGATATAAAATTCGTATCTGCTTCTGCCAAAAGGATTCCTGGACACCTGTGGTTATAAAGCAGATACCTGTTTTACAACTACATATATCTGCAAACTTGCAAGGTTCTAGATATAAAATGTGTATCAGCAAAAATAAGCCATGGATACCTTAGGATTTGCAGGGCTCTAGATATAACTATTCCTTCAATAAACAGAGAAATGGAATCTCTAAAACCATCATTCCTGTGCTTTTCACAAACATTAACATTAGACATGTAGAGACTCCAGAAAGAGATCTTTATATATTGTTCTCAGTTTCTAAAAAACAAAGCCAGTTTTAAAATTTGATGGTCAGTCAGATATAAAATATTTTATGGCTTAAAATTTGCAAAAGTGAACTACAAAAGGATCCTAACACAACTGTGCTTAGTTACCTGATTTTGGGAGTAAGTGAAATTTATGCACACAGTGCTGATCAGTTAAACTTCGCTCCTCACACAGCTGATGTCCATTGCTCCAGAACTTGTAACAGTCTTCATGAAGCTGCATGGCATACTTGTGAAAGGCTGGTCCTCGGGCATGCTGGCTGTACACACGCAAGGCTTGTGCCAGCTGATTCTTATGAACTGTCATAGTATAGTTATGGGGCAAGTTGGACTGGTAGGCACTGTGGGCCATAGGGAGAGCCTTTTGACAACGGTTTTCAGAAAATTTGGTGTCTATATCTAGGTACCCTTCCAAGACTTTGATGCTGCCCATAATTTTAGAGGTCAGTTCCCCAGTGAGGGAAGCTGGGTCATCATCTTTCCCCTCAATAGCCACATCATATAGTTTCTGGGCTGCAGCAACCCACTTCTGATATGTAGGAAGTTCAAAGTGAGAGGGCTGAGGGTTTCTTCCCACACTGTCATCAAAGCCTTTCTTGCTGAGCACCAACTCCACATGCTGCCATAGAAACTCCTTCAAAGTGCAGTCCACTAACTGCCCAGAGGAACTGGAGCTGCTACTGCTACTCTCAACATGGAAAGACAGCTGCTGCCTGCCATGTCTCATCATCTGGTATCTCCTTGGTCCTGCCAAGGTGGGTGCCAGCAAAGAATCTGTCTCTTTCATCGTGCAGTTGTTCCTGAGCTGCTCCAGCAGCATGGCCACCGGGTCTTCTCCATCCTGGGTCCCACCAGCCACGATGTAGACAAAGGCCTGGTTAGCAGGCACAGTGAAAAGGCAATTGATGCTCTGGTTGGTCAGCACCCGACTCTTACGGAAAATGCGGTAGATCTGGTCCTCCAGAGCATGCTGCAACCTCCTCTTGGGCGAATGCTTCTTGGGTGGGGGCTTCTCCAGCTGGCCACAGAGATCTTGCCCCCTGCCTGGTGGGGGGTCCACCTTCAGGGCCCCATTAAGCTGGAAGAGGAACAGGAGGCGGGGCGGGCATGGCCTACAGTTGAGTTTCCACTCCTTGCCAACGGGGCAGTCCTTGATGGCAGCCTTGAGGGAGGGCAGCACCTTCTGCCTCAGCCCATCCAGCGCCCTGAAGACCCGGTCGTAGGTGATGTCGAAGGAGCAGGTGGGGTGCACCAGCAGCAGGATGTGGCAAACGGAGAAGAGGTAAAGGAGGCTCAGGCAGTGCAGCTTCTCCTGGTGCTTCCAGAACTCGTGGGCCTCGGCGTGCGGCAGCGGAGCGCCAGGGGGGTGCCCGAGGCCCGGCACCCGGGCGTCCCCGGCGCTGAGGTCCCGGCAGGCCTGCAGCAGCTGCGGGGTGTCGCAGATGGAGGTGAGCACCAGGTACAGCACCTTGCTGTCCTGGCTGTAATAGGCCTGCAGCAGGTTGTAGTCCTGGGCCCCGGGCTCCTCCTCCTCCTCGCCGGCCGCGGGCTCCCCGCCCGCCCCGCGCTCGGCGCCGCCCGGCCCCGCGTCCTCCCGCTGGAAGAGGGGGAAGACCTGCCGGTCGCACACGGTGCTCACCAGCGCCGCCTTCTCGGAGCTCAGCTGCAGGGCGGTCTTGCCGAAGATGCCCACCACACACACCTCCTCCTCGCCGGGTGCCGCGGCGCCCGTCCCGCCGCTCCCCTCCTCCGCGCCGCCGCCGGCCAGCAGCAGCTCCCGCAGGCTCACGGGCACAGTCATCGCAGCGAGCGCGGCGCCCCGCTGGAACGAGAGTCCCTCAGAGCATGCGCCACTGCGGCGCATGCGCCGTAACGGGCTAGGCGCCGATGTGGTCACCGCGCATGCTCACAACTCGGGGCGACGCTGAGTTGCCCTCACGTCGCCCTAAGAAGCGGCTCCCTTAGCCACGTGGGTTGTTAAGTCAGATGGCAAAAGGGAAAGGTGGAGAAAACGGGGAAGAAGAGCAGATCCGTTATTGCCAGTGAAACACTGGCGCCAAGAGGAGACGAGATTCTTCCAGGAGACTTGCACACAGCAGTTCTTCAAACCACCCACGCCCCCAGGGAAATATGTGACAGCCCAGCTTTCAAAACCATCCTGCAAACATGTAACTAGCATGGTAGCCTTCTAAGGAGCAATGTGGTGACCTCTCTGGGTTATAGAACAGAGCAAGCTACTGCAACTAGAAGTCCAGCTCATTCCCCCTTAAAACGTTGCACATTCAATACACTGGAAATAAAATTCAATCTGTCAACAGGGCTGTTACAGTGATTTAGTTTCAAATTAAAATTGTAGCAGTGTTTTAGAAAAATACAGTTCTTGTTGGTCTTTAAAGTGCTGCATAGTCCTGTCTTTTGTTTCAGCAAGTCCAGACTAACATGGCTACATTCCTATTACAGTTCAAAAAGACTGGGATACTATTAAGATGTACTTAATTAATACAATAGGAAATGAGTAATCAAAGGTGGAAAATATGCAGCATTAATGTGTATAAGAAATCTGAATAGCAGCAGTGGAAGTTCAAGATGGCTAATGGTAATTATAGTCTTGTTTAGGAATCTTGATCCATGATCTTTCCATTCCTAGAACACCAATTAGGATCTTTGAGCTTTCTATTTCAAAGCAGTTCAATAATAGAATTACTTAGTTCCTAAACCCAACATTCCTGTGAGGTCAATATGTTAAGTCAAATTTTGCAGATGGAGAAACAGATACATTTAGTGACCAAGGTGACATAGCAAGTCAGTAGGAGAGCCAGGAATTTAGGAGAATGTAGCACTAAGCAGGACTGCCCAAAATTAGGTGTGTTACTGTTAATATAAAACAAGCCAAACTGGTATATGCTGGAAAACTGTTAATACTTTCTTACTGAGTCACATAACTTTTATAAAAAATATTGCAAACCTCTCTGTTACTGGAGATACTGAAGTCCTAAATTACTTCCCTCTTTTGAATTTTGTTTTCTCTAACATTACAAATAGTGCTAAAGTCATCTTTTAAAAGGTCAGTCTAATGTTCAATTTAAATTGCTTCCTAGAACACATGCATCTATATCACAAAAAGACAACACTCTATGGAAGTTTCAACACAAGTCAAGATTCCAAAAGACCAATGAGACTTTATTCTCTTCTCAGACTTCAAAGAGGTATTCCAGAGTCAAAATTGAGGCACTGTAGAAGGACCCTCGGGGGAAGGCTTTACTTCTTGAGGACAACAAAAACGGCACTTTATGTGTGCTAAACTTAAAGTTGCAAATTCATTACCTCTTAGTGATATAAAACTGGGGTTAGACAAGTAGCTACTGACCCTCAATTGATATAAAAACATTGCAGCACAGGTCTAGTTCTGCTCATCAAAGCTGTTTGCATTATGTAACCGAGCTGGAGAGGGAGTCTTTGGGTGAGCCAGCTGTTAAAGTAAGAACAAGTTATATTTAGATTTTAATTTTCAGTAACAATTACATACTTCCAAGCAGGTAATTCTTATTCATCTCATCCTAAGTGTAAACGAGCATGTAAACTAAGAGAATTCTTAACATGGAAAACATTTTAAAACCTCAGTGTCTTTCCAGTGTCAGAAGCTGTCTTGTTTATTGGTTATTGTTTTCTAAATAATGGTTCCCAAAAAAATGCTACCATCATGTAAGACACAGTTCTTTGAGAACCTCTGCGTATTCCCACTTGTAGTGTGTATTCCTGCAACCAATGAATCTCAGAGACATCTGGAAAGAAGCATGTTAAGTGAGCCCCACCTCAGTCCCAAATGTTTGGAATGAAGTGCCATGCAAACATAATCTTCTGAGTTCCTCCTCCTAAATTGTAAAACCCTATGGAAAAAGAACTCTGAGAATTGAACATGGGGGAGACTTTGCAAGGGTTATCCCCACACATAGGAGCATGCAGAGACACCCTTTGATGAAGAATCCTTCAGTGCTGCCAGTTGTGCATGTTGAACCCTTTGTTATGTTTTGAATTACATTTAAGCAATCAAGTCTGCTTTTTACACTACCAATATGTGACTCTTCTAGCACACTTTTCATTCTCAGAGTACACTTTTCATTCTCAAAGTACTGCATATACATTAACTAAGTAGTAGGTAGCATGAAGCAGTGGACTCGGTATCAGGAGAGCAGATTTCTGTTTCCAGTTCTGTCCAGGACCTGCTGGTTGATCTTGGGCAAGCCACATCATCTTTCTATAGCTGTTTTCCCATCTGTAAAATGGGAATAAAGACCTTCCTACATAAAACACTAAGATCTACGAAGGAAAAGTTTATTAGAGATAAATGTCACTATTATGAGTGAAGCATCAAGAGCTTTCACCTCACACTGACATCTTTTATGTCTGCCAAGTGCCATGCAGCTTAATGGTACTATACATGAGATAAATACTGTTTTGGAAAAATATCTTATATTGGGCTTTTAAAACTGACCAAAACTTTATGCAACAAGAAACTGGCTTAAACACAAAGCCTTGCCTGAAATTTGCGCCTCAGTGCTTGTGTCATTATTGGTGTCAATCCTGTGCCGGTTTCCATGTTCTCTTTGTTAGTCAATGGAGTTCCACCAGGACTCCTGAGGAAATCATAAAAATTGTAAGGGACATTACTCTTATTTCTGATTAGTTAAAAAACAAAAGATGACCAAAAGGAAGTTACCTCTGAATATTGACTTTCTTAAGATGTTTTCTAAGGTCTATTTGATTTTTGCTGGGAGTACTGGAAAAAAAACAAACCCCAAAATGTTAAAACCAACGTATTTTTCAGTACTATCAGTAATAATTCTTATTCTAAACATAGAGCATCTTTTCTCTGTTTGATAGCAAAGAATGTAGAAACATCCTTACATTAAGAGATTTGTAATAGGAGCTGGTGGCAGCTTGGATTTAGGTCTCAGATTGATGCTTTGTAAATCTGAGACTGTAATTAATGCCCTGTGCTGCTTGACCGGTGAGCCTGCCTAAAATTAAAAAGAAAGATGTTACCAAAAATAAATTTTAAAAGACACCACTAAACATACAATCTATTTAATATGTATACCATGTGTGTTTTTAGTGCATTATGGCTCATCAGTTCTTTTGAGTCATTAAGATTGAATATACCTTTGAAAAAAAATAGCCATTTTATAGAAGATTCCCATAAAAGCATTGTACATTATATATGTACATATATGGTTAAAATGTACACATGCATAAAGCTCCATGAATACTGAATGCTATTTCCTAAACTAAAAAGGAGCACTCCCATGCATTGACCCTGGTGGAAGTCACTTAACCTCTCTGCCTCAAATTCCACATCTGCAAAATTAGGATAACAATATTTACGCACATATATTACTATGGATTTGGAGACTGGAATAGTCCCATGGTGTCCAACCAGTTCTGAAGCAGGCTATAGTGAACTAGCCACACTCAACTGGCCAAATAGTGACACTGTTCAAGCCAATTAGCCACACTCAACTGGCCAAATAGCCACACGTAGCTAGTGGCTAGCATGTTGGATACCACGGGATTAGTCAGTCGATGAGCCCAAATTCATCTTTGGAGTGAGCCCATTGAAGTTTTTGAATGAACTGTACATAAAGGATGGATATCATGAAATGTTTGTAGAGCTCTTTGAAGGTTTATATAGGCATGCTAGCTATGATTAACTGAAATCTCAAATCTCTCATAATGTATTCAGTGAACTACTTTATTAATTAGTTTTCTCATCATTATCCCAAAATGTATTGTCTTGAACAACATAAGCAAAAGAATAGGCTAGCTAAGAACATGAATACATAAATGTTTTAAAATAAACATCCCACACGAGATGGAAAAGATCAAAGGGAATAGCATACATTCAGCACTTCAATAGGGAATATTAATTCAGGCAGAAGAAATAGTTGGGGCTTAAGTTTATTTTTAGGAGAATGGTTGAGAGTTGAACTGTCAAATGCAATTTTTCAGCTAACCAGAGAACAGACACTAGCCTTGGTTACAACCGTGGTCTGAAAAATTCAATACATGGTTCTAAAAAAAGAACAAAGAAGTTTTGCGGAAGCCAAGAAAGATCAGAAATATGATTCTGGTCTCCACAGCCAATATTCTCAAAGGCATTTAGGCAGCTAACACCTACCTATACCCTGTAAGGCTGAACAACTTAGCAGCCATTTTTGACACAGTCCAGGGAAACCAGGAATTATTTTTGTCAGAACAAAACTTCAAGACATAAATCCTGGGTATAGTGCACAGCCCAACCAAATGAACTATGCACTGACTGCAATCTTTCCCCAGAACCAAGCAAAGGAGTTGCTCCACAGCTACTACTTCAGACTGGCGTGGGTGGGAGGGGAGAGAAAAGGTTGTGTATCTGCTCTGCAGAACCATTAATCCTGCACTCAGATCTCCACTGTCCACAGAGCCCCTATAGAATAAGGCTTCCCAGCATATATGGGTTCTACAGCTACTGCATGAGGTTCCCACCATCACACAGTGGAACACATTGGTTTCACAGCAGGCAGGATTTGCCCCAGAACAGTACTATCCAGTTACACAATTACCTACACGTCCTTCAGTTTACCTGGCCTGTTTTTGTGTAATTCTGTATCTTCTTTAGTTTCACGTTCAGGAGATCCTTGAGAGTGATTTGTATGGGCCCATCTTTTACTGATGTAGCCTGAAAACAAAGGGAAGTTGGAATGAATAGTAGAATCAGCAAATTATATGGCTCTCATGTTTTCCTTATTTCATACAAAAATCCATCAAATACCAATTGAAGAAATATAGTTATTCTGTTACGCCCTACCTGAAGTGCTTTTGTCCCATTGCCCTTTTTAAGTAGGACAGGTGCAGGTGGTGGTGGCAGAGGAGGAGGAGGAGGTGGTGGAGGTGGAGGATGGGGAACCGATGCAGGTTGCGGCACTCCTGCACAAGGCAGGGATATTGGGTCTGCCACACCGATCTGTGCATGAACAGGAACAGCTAGTAATGGCTTATCACACCTTCGGCAAGGAGAGCTTTCTGAGGAACTAACAACAGTCCCATTCATCTAGGGAGAAGAAAAGACGACAAAATGAAGAGCATTACATTAACTGTTTAAAGAATAGCAATGCGTAGGGAATGGGGTTCCTAACTTCCACTGATCCAGGATGCCAGGCCCATGACGTGCCTGCTACTGGAGTGATCATCCAGCTGGCTAACTGCTGCCTTCCAGCCCCATGATGGCTGCATTTCAGTAATTTTCCATGCGTAGGGAACACGAAGTGTTTTCCAATTAAAGGAGCTAGGACAGCAGTTCTCAAACCATGGGGAATATGTTTTTTTTCTTTTCTTTTTGAAGAGCTCTGGCTGTCAGCCCTGGGTGACTGGGGTGTGTGCAGAAGGGCCATGCACACCAGGAGACGTGGAAAAAGGGACAGCTGGAGCCCTGGCACGAGGGCTCTCCTTCCCCCCTTAATATCTCACAGGGAGGCAGCAACACCACCCTACCCAACCCTCACCTAGTGGCAGCAGGACTCTGGATGTCAGCCCGAGTGGCAGTGCAGAAGCAAGGGTGGCAATGGGGTGCTAAATCTGCTGCTATTGTGCTTCAGAGAGGGGTGGCTGCATGTGTATGTATTTTGTACCCAGGCAGTAGCCACTGCTTTCTGCCCTGCCTTCAGAGCCAGGTGGCTGTATGCAGTGCTTTTTTTTTTGTTTAAAAAAAAAAAAAAAAAAAAGTGCCGGTACTCCAGGGGAAAAGTTGTTGAGCTCTGACTGGAGATGCCAGTACTGCGTACTGGGCAGTACCATCACAAAAAAACCCACTCCCTGTATGCATTTTCTTGGGGGTGGGGAGAGAATATATGACTAAAAATACAAAGGCGGGGGGCAATCAAATGGGTTTGAGATCCACTCAGCTTAAGACATACAGGGTATTTTTTATTTACACAGGCTGTATAATTTCCAATTCTATTCCATATTAGGGGTGGGATTTTCAGAAGTACCTCTGTGACTTGATGGCATAAGTTTCATTAACTACATTCATTTGATCATCAAAACTCAGAGAACATTCCCTACTTCTGGTTATATGTAGTCTGTGATCCAATTATATTCTACTAAACGTCAGCAGGAGGAAATATTTAGGCCAAAAGTTCTTCTAATATTTAATTTTAATATTTCTTTTAATATTTAATTTACTGGATTTCAAGGCAGTGGGGTCTCTTCAGTAGCATACACTTAGCAAAAACAAATTTAGCTTCCATCACTGACCACACGTTTTAAATGCTTAAGACAGTGCCTTTTTTGTGGCCCTCTAAAAAGTTATGAATGGAGATGTGGACCCCTTTGGAAAGCTTCAAAATAGTCCATGGACGTGGACTGCGTTGAAAGCCACCAGCTTAGGCAAACATGAGAAAAATCACATTGCTAATGGGAATAATATGTGACCGACCTGGATCACACCTTGTAATCTGGAAAATTCAGTTTCCAGCTTTTCCACCTGTTGCTTCAGCATGTTCAGTTGCCGCAGGTAGAGTCTCGAAGGAAATATGGCGTCTTTGATTACTTCAAAACTCTAAGCATCACAAAGAAACCAGAAGATTATTTTCAGAGTTAAACACACTAGGTGAAATTTCAAAAACACTTTAAGTGACTCGGGAGCACAACTCTAATTGAAAATCATTGAAAAATCTTCTGATTGTATTCAGTGGCAAAGAGCAACATGGATTGGCCAATTCAAATCTACTCTCTCATTTTTTTCCTCTCTCATCCTTTGGTCAGAGTACACCAGAAAAGCAGACTTGATACATTCAAATCTTATAATTTGCTAAGTTTGAATGTTGCAAGGGTCTTCAAACTGATACTGAGGAATTGAAGGATGGGCCATGTTTCCTTGGTAAGATTCTCAATAAGTTTTCAAATTTTAACCCTGAACCCCACAGTACATTTTTTGTCTGACCCATCAAGGTCATACACTATTATCTCCTAGACCATTAAGAGTTGCAAGCTGGGCCCTATGACATTGCAAATACTCCAAATATTGCAATGAAAATCTCCAGCTTTACATGCAATCTCAATGTCACTGTAATTTTGGGTACTTTTACAAAACCTATTTTCCCAACAGATGATACCTCCACTTGAACCTTAATAATTTCCTACCAAGCCTTTCCTTGGACAATAGGGATGTTAAAATATGTTTGTTTTTTTTGGTAAACGTATAACCGCTGAAATGTATAACCCTGTGAGAACTGCCCCCCTTCCCTCTCTGATACAGAGGCAGCAAAGGGAAGGGTATAACCATGCAGGTTAACCGATAAGCCCAGATTCATTAGTTAACCATTCACACATTTACACCATCCATCCCTACTAGACAGAGATTTTCCAATAACTACACTTTAATTCTGGAGCTAGGTTCAGTATACATGCCCAGAGCTCTATGGTGATCTCTCACAGGTAGAAAACAGAGATTTAGAAAACATACCTGTGCAACACTGTTCTGGCACCACCAGTACAAAGACGATGCTGTCATTGCCAGGGGCCTTACTGCATTCTTTACACTGGGAAGGACTAACGGCCAGACTGAGAAGGTGCTACTTTGGCTGTGGGGAGAATCTGGAGGAAGACCATTCAATAACCTGTATAAGAAAATTTCAAATTCAACTTTACAAGTAAATACAGAAATTTAGCCATCCAGATATATAACTATGATCAATTTGCTGGTAATTTACAAGTGTCAATATAACAGGCGAGTTTGGGTTAAACTTCAGTGCAGGGAAAGGGAATGGTAGGAAATATTGCA